TTAGGGCTGAGGAAAAGAGCTTGCTTCTTGTCTGTCTTTAGATTTGCAAAAGTGGTGCTCAGCTTTATTCCATGATGCCGAGTCCATCTAAAAATCCACCCACTGAACAACTTCAGATGGCAGGATCTTCTGGTGATGGCGTTTTATTTTCCCCATGCTGGCCAAGGGTCCGCCAAAGGGGACCAATCATAACACTGGATGCACATTTTAAGACACTCACTTTTAGACATGAGAAATAAATGTTGATTGTAGGTTTTCTGTAGACTTGTGATCATGCCCCAAAACTGCCATTTTCCAGTTATGAGGGGCTGAATCAGCGTCTAATGTGCCATGTGTATAACAATATATCACTAACAGCTACCTGAAAGTATAAAGATGTTTATATGAAATTTATAGATATTACGAAAATAATAGGAGCAAATAAAAAAAAATTCGGATTCCTGAAATATGCATTATTTTTAATAAAGTCATTCAACGAAAAAAATAACATTTAATTTTTTATGTGTGGATTCCAGAAAGTCTTTTTGTTTGTGTGGATTCCAGAAAGTCTTTTTTTATGTGTGGATTCCAGAAAGTCTTTTTGTTCTTCCTGCACTTGTCTATATTGTTATTTACTAGACAATTATCTCTTGTTCTGGCTTATTTATGTCTTTCTTCTGTTTCTGGGAATGCCCATACACCCTACCATAATTCTGTCTAGAAAATAGAGGGTGGGGTGAAGTGAAGACTGAAAATAGAACCTAGTTCTGTTGAGTTTTGTGTGGTTGTTATTTTTTAAATATTAAATATATGGAGTAAAAGAACAATACACTATGTGTCTTTCATGAGTAGAAGACAGAACCTGCCCTGGTCATTTTTAACAATTCCTAATCTGTGGTTTAGGTCCTTAATCCTTGTTACTGCTTCTACTAATCATCAACAAATTAAAATTATTTAAGTGCCACACCAGAAGCCATTGTATGTTTGTCCTACAATGACTTTAGCTCCTACATTGTTTTTTATTGTTTGCTTTCCTGAGGTTAGAAAGGAATTTATCAACTACTACTTGTATAAAACCTATTATGGTCATGCTGCAGATAAAAAGTGTTATGATAGCAGACTGTCAATCCTGAAAGTTCTGAGATAACACATGAACAATTAGGAAAGAATTCCTTTCCTAGAAGTTAAAACTCAAATATAAAAATGTATGGACTGCCTGGGGTTCCTACTTGCCAATAAACTATTGTACACATAAACCTAAGACATAAATTTTTTTTAAGTAAATGTGTGTGTATGTGAAAAGATGATTTGGTAATCCTTTCATCTCAGGGAAGTCTTTTTCACGGATCAAAACAGGTTGTGTTCTGGTTTGTGGATTAGATCTCTAGCACAGAATTGCCAGGATCCTGCAGAAAGAACAAACAGGTCATTTTACTTTGGAGCTCTGGCAACTTAGTTGATAGTATCTATATCTATTGTGGTTAATAACAAATTCCAATTTGGAAAAGCTGTTATTAAAACAAATGTAGTGTTTGGGCACTGAAGACACAGGAGCCAAAAGGTCACCTGAGGGTTTGCCCCCATCTGCCGTGGACTGATTCCTCTAAGAAGAATGGCAAGGTAAATGTTGGTATAATCTTTGGAACTGACAGATTCTACTTTTATTTGGAATTTGAGAGATTTTTTTTTTCTAGATCTAATTTCATAGCCTATAAAGTCATGACATAAAAAATAGATACATTCTCTCTGATTTGTAGCTAAGGAAAGAAGACATTAGGTGCTTGGCCCTGTATCACACAGCTAGTCCCACAGCCATCAGTAAAACCTGCTCTGTTTCCTAAAATTGTAATGCACCTTCTCCCAGAAAAGCAGGAGGCAAAACAAAAAAGACAAAGGAAAAATGACTGAATATAGGAATTATGAGGGTTGGAAGTTTGTGTAGTCTAAGTGTGATTTAAGAGGATAAGTTAAATATTTTATTTTAAATATTTAAAAATTAATACACATTGTTTAGATATGAATGTTTTTCTTATCCTCCAAAGCAGAACTAAATTAACAAAAGGTCAGCTGCTGTAGCTTTCATGTAAGGGAGAATCCTGGGGACTAGAGTAAAATGCTTGTCTTAAAATGACTTCTAGGAATTAATCAACCCTAGAGAATAAAAACTTTAGCAGCCTCTTGGAGGTGGGTCCTGGAAGAGTAGAGAATTAACATTAAGATGTTTGAGTGGAAATTGTTTCAAAATAAACTTTTAATTCCATCTAATTAGAGTATCTGCCTCTCTGCTCCTTTTGGATTAAGATTGTACTGATAGATTACAGAAAGGTTCCCAACTACATCCTCAAATAATCTTGATTCTAATACAACTAGAAACTGTGTGTTTGGGAACAGTGGTAAATGCAAGGGCAAGTAAGCTGGCAGATCAGTAACTTCTCTTCACATCTGGAATGCCAGCGCAATATTAAGTGTATAAAGCTATGTTCACTGACATTACCTCATTTGACCCACAGTATTACAGATGAGGAAGTGATAACTCAGAGGTTGTGATCTTCCCAAGGTCAGTAAGCTGGTAAATAGCAGCCTGTTCCTAAAACAAGTTGTAAATAGTGGCCCTAAAACACATAACCTTTTCTTGCCATTCTGTAGCTCAGATTTCTTTCATTTGTGCTTGTTCCCTTCTCTTATTTTTTCCTGTGTGGTTGTGAATAACACCAACAAGAATATTGCTGTTTATATATTTAGATTGCTATATAAGATTAGTTTTCTTGATTAATGTAGGCATCTTTCTAGATATTATTAGAAAGGCGTGGAAACTCATTAAACTCACTGAAACATTTCTTGCCTTCATTAGCAATCCATCTGTTAACTTTATTGGATACGGTAAAGTCAGGAATTGTTCATAGAGCAAACAAAGACTCAGGCTGTTTTCTCTCCACACGGGCTTCACAATACTGGTACATTTTATTCCCATAATTATCCTAAATTCCAAGTCTTGCCATATATTAATACCATGCCCATATTACTATAATTTTTAAAAAAGAAACATCTTGTGCAAAATGATCCTTTTAGAATGGTAGGTATCCCCCTTCTCCCAACTTTGCTGAAACATTCACCGGATCCAGGAATCTCCCGCGCCTGACATAGTTTGAACTTAGATTCAGCAGGCCCACGGCCAAGGCGGGAAAATCTCACAGTGCCCCAGTTTGGGAGCAGCCCGAGTGGGGAGAGGCACCGGGGACTGTAGCTTCCCGCTGGGTGAGAACCAGGGCCCTTTCAGGGTCCGCGAGACCAAGCCCCTTCTCTTCCCGGAGCGCGCGCGCCCCCTGGCGGCCTAAGCCGATGACAGGGCGCCGAAAGAGCCCAGGGTCCGAGGCGCTCAGAGCCGCGAAGTCACCTGGGCTGACCTAACCCTGGGCGCCCCACGCAGACCTCCCTAAACTCATCAGGCTGCGCTGCCCACTCGTGCCATGTCCTTTGTTCCCGTGGACTTCTCCGCAGGTGATGCGGTGTCCCGGCGTCGGAAGCGCGGTGGCCTCACTGGCCGGGGAGGGCCCTGGTTTCTGCGACTTTTGGGGTGGCCTGGGAGGCGGGGGGCTCCGGCAGCAGCGAGCCGGGTGCTTGCGTGTCAGGGAGAGGCCGAGCGCCCCTCCTTGGCCCCCGGTCCGCGCGCAAGGGGGCCGAGCCCCGGGAAGGGGAAGAACGTGTAATCGCTTGCAGCGGGACAATGACGACTTTTGAACCTCTAACCACTAAGCAAACAACCCTTGTGCTCTTGCTCCACTGTCCAAACAGCATTTATTGACAGGCGTTTCACGGCAACGCATAGCAACCGCGGCGGCGGCCTGGGGGCGGGCGCGTGGGCGCGGCCGGGGCGCGGGGCCGGCGCTCCCTCCCTGCGCGGGGAGACGGGGGAGGGGGGCACCGGGAGCGCAGCGGCCCTGCATCGGGACCCCTCGTCCAGCGAACCCCGACGCGGCTTCCCCTGGGTCGAGCAGCCTCTGCCCCCGCGCCCCGCGCTCCAGAGTCCGGCCGGGCCCCCTGCCCCCGGGGCGGGCCAGGCGCCCGCGGGCCGGGCCACCAGAGCCCCTTTCCCAATCCTGGAGCGGAATGCGCCACCCGGAAGGGCCGCGGAATCGGGGAGGCGCTGCAGAGGGTATTTGTGCCTCCTGCTGTCTCCCAGCCCCGCTCGTCCTCCCCAGCAGCCCTCGAGGCGCCTGCCCCCTCCGTGGAGGCGCTGATTAGGCTCCAAGGTGCTGGTGGGAAGAAATGGAGGGCAAAGCCCGCCTCCCCCGGGCCCTGCCCGGAGCGTCCAGCTCGAGGGCCTCCGGGACCAAAAACCTCAAGGGCAGAAGCCGGGTCCCCAGCAGATGGGCCAGATAGCAAGCAGCCCTCACTGAAGGGATCTTCTTATACTGGGTCTTGAGTTCTTGTTTGTGGGGGTGGGAGGGAATGGGATAAGAAAAGTGTGGGGACAGAGAACAGAGTGGAGGCAGAAAGGGCTCGTGGAAATGCCCAGTGATTCACAGAAGACTATGTTCATGGAAATGTTGCCTTGGGAAAACGGGAGAAAAAAATCTTCCACTTAATGCTTATGTTTAATTACCAGGATTGTGGGGCACCCCAGGGAGGAGGGTGCCGCTGAAGAGAGGAGTTGCCTGGCGTTTGCAATCGCCTCCCAGTGTGTTTGATGAGATGCTATGAGGGGCCCTCTCACCCCTACCCCCAATAATTCCCAGCTGCTGGGAAGCAGCTGACCATTCAGATGTGCATTTTGCCCAAAGGCACCCCCAGGAGAACCACACATTCCAAGGCTGGGCTCAGGCTTGGGGGCAGGGAAGGTCTCGGAACCTGCTCTTTCAGGCTTCTGACGCTCTGGGGTAAAATGAGGCTGTCCAGATAACCTTCTCCACCCACTCCCTGATTTTTCTGATTCTAGCTTCAGAGAAGGTATGTCATTTGTTAAAAAAATAATAATAATAATTCCAGACAAAAAAAAAATTGAAAAAAATAAATACAGAATCTGAAATCTGTAATACTCATTTATCTTTTTTCTTTTTAGAAAAAAAATTCAACAGTGTTCAAATACCCCCCCACTTCCCTTCACCATATCACTTCTCTCCCCCATAGATCCAGAAGGCTTTTAAAATGCTGGCTTGGATGTTACACAGACCAACGACCCGAACAGCAGCAACAACAACAAAACCCCCTTCTTCATCAGCCCCAAGATTGTGAAAATGACAGGAAGTCCAGGTTGGCTCTGGCATTTATAGCACTGACATACATTCAGCCCAGAGAAGCTCTGGTGACAGGCTTTCTAAACAAGCCCTGTCCGGGCCCCTTGTGAGGCCTGGAGTCCAATAACCACCCCCTCACACCACACACTGCACATACGCCAGCCCAGCCTCTCCTGGTCTGGAAAGGGAGGAGAAAAAAGACACAGGCCACCTGGGGGTTCTGCAGTCTTTGGTCAGTCCAGCTTTCCATCTTAGCTGCCTCTGGCTTCTGCAGTTTAAATCTTGCCTGCCCCGAGGCAGGAGGGCCAGCTGGGCCGAGGATGGCAGTGGGCAGACGGCAGCCGCCTTGGCTCCAGTGTGCTGTTCCTGAGTCCCTCTCTCCCCTTAGCTCCAACCAGCGATGCAGCCTGCAGGTCTTGGAGGCAGACAGCTTCGGAGGAGGAAGCTGCGAGCCTGGTCAGGGTAGTCGGTCCAGGCAATGCTTCTGCCAGTGCTGAATGAAGCCCAGTGGTCATTTCCTGTCTCCTCAGTGGCAGAAAAAGCCAGACCAGAAAAAGTGGAAAATCTGGGAGAATATCTTCCCTGAGGCCCCCCAATGCCACTTGTCGTTTACTCCTGGCCCGAGGTTTTTCCTCTGAGAGCTAGGTTCGTAGGTATGCGCTTGTGGGTGGGAGTGGAAGGGTCTCTTCTGAGGATTCTAGCAGAGTCCATGCTCCTCATGGCTCAGCCTGGAATTGCTCTGCCGCTGCAGACCACTGCGGGTCACTAGGTGACAGTGGGGTTTAACACCCCCCCAGTCGGCCCCAGAACCCCAGGGACGGAACCTGGCACTGAGCCTTGCAGGGAAGACACGGGGCTCAAGGGCTCGGGGACACTCCTCAGAGGACCTGGCTGAGGTTGGGGAGGCGGCTGCGGCTGCGCAGGCGGCGGCTGCTGTTGCTGCTGCTGCAACTTCTTCTTGTTGATTTTCCTTTCCTTCGCTCTGCGGTTCTGAAACCAGATTTTAACCTAGAAATGGAGAGGCGGAAGAAAACGAGACTGTAGTGAAGACGAAGACAAGAGGGAAAAGAAGAACAGCATCCAGCAATGTCACCAATGTTTCCCTCTCGAACTAAAGAACCCTAAACCCTCCTAGAGGCTTTTGTTGGATATCTCCATAACAGCCCAACCCTGGAGCCATTCCCAAGCCCAATTCACTTTCATGAGAAGAGTCTTCCTCCTTCCTTGCTCCCCAGGTGTTTTTTCAAAGCAACCTTTATCTATGTCTTTGCTGGAAAAGTTCAGAGTCTCAGGACCCAGGAAAACAGAAACTGCAAGGCCCTTTCTACACAAGCAAGAGGAGGCCAGTGTACTTCAAATGGCAACCTTTGGCCTCTCGAGGCTAACCTGAAATGTAATATTCTTTACCTTGGAGCTGAAAATGAGTTTTAATGTGTGGTGTCCTGGCTGTGAATTTGGCCTGTTTTTTTCTAGACCATATATAGAAACCTGTTCATGAAACAGGTCTCACCCTTCTAGTTTTTATGAGCAGAAATTTTTTTTTCTCCCTCAGTACAGAACTAAAAACAAAGAGAAAATGTCTTTAATAAATCTTTATTGACCCAAATGGAATTCTGGATTAAACTAACACTCTTGGCTTTTTCTCACATCTCCCAGATCCTTCAAAATAGGGGGGAAAAAAAAAACAACATAAAAAAAGACTAGAGAGGTAGAAGAAGGCTTTTTAGAAAACACCCCAAAGGCAAATGCTAGCATCCTCCTGCTGTAATCTGCCCACAGGACTAGGTGGACACTGTGGCCAGGCCTGCTAACCCTCCTGGCCCTCCCCCAGGCCGTGGCCAGGCCCAGGGGACCTGGGCGGTTCCCACCTGCCTCTCTGAGAGCCCCAGCGTGGCAGCCAGCTCGGCCTTCCTCCGGATGGTGATGTAGCGGCTGTAGTGAAACTCCTTCTCCAGCTCCAGCCGCTGGTGGTCCGTGTACACCACTCGGTATTTGTCTTTCGTCCTGGTTTTCACTGTGGAGGAAGGAGAAGTTAGCACGGAGGACTGCAAGGCAGCCCATCAGTCATGGGTAATGACAAACCTCCCTAACCCAGGGGCCATTTCTCTTCCTCCGCCGCCCTGGGGGGCCCCGGTTTGGCTGGTTCCTGCCAAGTCTGACAAGACCCCCCAGAGGGTCCTGGAGGGAGGAAGGAGGCCAGTGGGGGCAACTAAACTAACCTTGGGGTTAAGTGGTTTTTAAAAATAAAATAAAAAAAAAGAACAACTAAAACCTCATACACAGAGAAGATAGCAGAACTCAACCATCCTTTTGATAAACCAAATACCATACCCGCAGCAAGGGAAAGCGGGAGCAGACTGGGGTGGCCCACAGTCCAGTGAATATCCAGATTTTCAGGCCTACCAGAATGGAAGCCCACCCTGAACACAGCTGGGGTTGGGGGTATGTATCGCAAAGGTAGAGGTGTGGTTACTTTCTGTTTGCTCTACTACAAGTGGATAGTGGGATGCAGGAGCTGACAGGTTCCTTCAAGTCACCAGAGTCACCCACCAGACACACCAGGCCCATCTGGTGGAATTCTGAGCTGGGCCCTGGCATTCCGAACCTATTCTGGCAGGCAGAAAACCAGTGCCCTCAGAGGGGGAACACTTTCTACCTGCCGGAACCCAAGTTTGGCTAGTGGCACTTTTTCCATCTAACCCTCCATTTAGTCCCACTGCAAACCTGGCCAGAGCTATCCTGACCAGTGATCTATGCTCATTGGATTGAGTCAACATATTAAATCCTGGGTTGATTGTTTTACTGAAGGGCCTTGACAAATAGTGTCCACAGTGTTGCAGGAGCGAGAGCCTGGCGTCTCCACGGGGTCTGCCCTGGGCCAGCCTTTGGCAGAGCCCTGGCCAGGAGCTGCTGCTCTCTCTGGCTCGGTCCCAGGTCGGGGTCTTCTTGCCGCTGAACAGGTTCAATCGCCCAGTGCCCCCAGTCCTACGGAAAGATCTGAAGGGTCTGGGAGTTGCCTGGAGGTGTTTAATGCCCCGCAGGCCGACTTTGTTCAGGTAAAACCCTTTGCAAACCACAACAAAAGCGTCCTGGGAAGATACAGGCGGGATCAGAGGGAGCTCCCCCCGAGCCGCTGAAAGGGGAACACAGCGGCAAACAATGCCGGACAAGGCGATCTTATCAAAGAAAAGCCCTTTCAATGCCTTAATAACAAGCGCATTCTGTTTGAATTACCACTACTGAGCAAATGGCGGCCCCGGCTTTCATCCCCCTCCCCGCCGGGCGCATTACCATAAACACGGCCGGCAGGCGCATTTGAATGGGCGCTGCGGCCCCGACCCCGCGCCGGCCGGGGAAGCGCAGGGACCCGACACGTCCTGAGAGCTGTCTACGAGCCGGCGCGTTCACGGGCCTGCCGCCCGCAACCCACTCGCCCCTTTTCACAGATGCGGAAACTGGGAATGAGACGAGGTCACACAAATAGTGTAAGGTGGGGCTGGCCCTGGAACCTGGTTGGAGCGGTAGAGGACGCCTCCAGGGCTGGGGACGGGGCGCAGGGCACTTCCCTCCGCCGAACACCCCAGGAGCGATACTCGCCTTGAGGGGCCTTGGAGCGGGCCTGGCTCGGGTGCTGCCCTCTCGGTGTCCCGGGAGGGCCGGGGAGCGCGGTGACCAGGACCCTGTGCGGTCTTCGGCCCGCGCCCCAAGGGCCTCGGAGGCGCCCCACACCCCCTGGGAACCAAGGAGGGGGGCTGAAGGAGGGGAGGGATGAGAGGGACTTGTCAGAATTCATTATTGACTGCGAAAGTCACCACCCTCTTTCCGGGCCCTAAAAGAGACAATGGCAGGGCTGGGAAGGTGTATATCAAAGCAGACCAGGCCGCGTACCCCCCACCCCTCCGCCCCTTGACAGATGACGCTCCGCAGAGGAGTCGGGCTCGGCCCGCGGGCCGCGGCCTTCCCACATTAACATCACAAGGGCGCCGGGCGCCGACCGCGGCCTTGCCACCTCGGCGCGGGACTTCACAGCGACCTCTCATCTGCTGACCCCGCGGCCTGGGCTCCGGCGGCTCCCTTCCCTCCCCCACAACCGGCCCGGCCCCGGGGCCACAGTCTCTGGACACGCAAAAGGTCTCCCTGAGGCCACCAGCGACCCAGCCAACCGCGCCCCAGTCCGGCTATGTAGAAGGTGGGTCTCTGGGAGCGCGCCCTGAGGGCGCCTCTTCTTGGGGAAGGGACCAAGCCAAGTCTCCGAGGCCAGCCCGAGGCAGCTCTGTGGCCTTCTCCCCGGCCGGCCGCGTTTCCCACCAGGGCTCTCCTCCGCATGTGCACAGTGACGCAGAAACTGAGGTCCGGACACAGCCCCAACAACCGCTCTGATTTATACGGCTGTAATTGGCTATAAACCTCTGCGAAGTGGCCATAACCTGCACGCGAGGCCGACTGGGCCAGCAGGGAGAGGAGCGAGAGAAGCGGAAGCGCCGAGGTCTGGAGAAAGACTTCTTGGAGTAAAAGAGAACGCAAACAGAACTCTCCCCACCACACCCACTCGCTCTTGCCACCTCCACACACATCCCGACACCAGAAGGAGCCAACGAGCCCCACAGTCTAGCAAAGTTAGAGTCTTGAACACACAGACGTACACACACACTCGTGACACCCTCGAAAGGAAGATTTGGTTAACCAACTCCCATCTGGATGACAGGCTGAATCCCCACCAGGGTGTCCTCCCCCTCTCCCTGCGCAGACACAGGGGGACTCCCTCTGTTTCTTGTCCCTAGCTTTCCAGCTTTGCTTGGAATACCCTCTTCACAGATAAAAGGCTCAGAGACGGGGCGTGCCGCCTCCCCCTTAGCTCCTGGAGCCGGCACCTCCTTCCCAGTGGCGGCAGCTTTCCCCGCTCTCTGCTCGCTGTACCCTTGACTTGGCCCGAATGGCCAAACCTGGCCCCTTGCGCAGCCTCGACGCCTCCCTGACAATCCCCAGGCCACCTCTGCACGGGTGGCTCAGACGGGGAAGAGGAGCGCGGAGAGGAACGCTCTAGACCCGGCCCCGGGCACTTCGAGGCTCCGTCTCCTCGGCGGCTGGGAGCTGTGCAAGGAATGAGGGCGGCAGCAAACGGGGAGGGTGCGAACCGGCCACTGTGCAGCCGTGCTCACGCCTACATTCCCGGGAGCTTCCCAAAGGTGTCTCGGGGCTGTGAATGACGGACTGTTGGAAAGAAGCCTCGCCTCTGCCCCCAACTGAACAAGGTGTTGTGAGACTCAAAATATCCACCCCCGGGTGCAGTAACCAGAACCCCTGAAAGGCCAGAGTTTCCCGAATTAGTCCCCTCCTGGCGTGGACAGACAGTCCCGGACGCCCCTGTGCACACCGGACGCGCAGCGGCCCCGCAGCCAGCGGCCGGCCGCGCCCTCCCAGAGCGCGCTCGCGCGGGTCGCCGCCGCCGCTTACCTTGGCTGCCGAGGGACGGCTGCGCCGGCTTCCGCATCCACTCGCACAGGTTCCGCCGCTGGCCGCCCGGGGACAGCTGCTCCGCGGCGGCGGTGGCGGCGGGCCCCGGAGGGCCGGGATTGAGCGTCTGCAGCAGCCCCGAGGCGCAGGAAGGCGCCGCGGCCGGGTGGTGCGGGTGGTGGTGCGGGTGGTGGTGCGGGTGGTAGTCCGCGGGGCTGCTGTAGCCCATAGCTGCGGCCGGGGAGCCCCCATTGAGGCCGTGCGCGACGGCGTTGGCGGCGGCCGCTGCGCCCCCCGGCGCGTAGCCATTCCAGTCCTCTCGAAGCGGGGCGCCGTACGCGGCGGGCCAGGACGGCCCCGGGGACTGCGCGCTGTCCAAGTTCGCGGCCGCCGCCGCCGCCGCCGCCACGTGGTAACCGCCGTAGTCCGGGTACTGCGGGGGGCTGACGAAGTTCTGTGGCGCCAGGTTGAGGCCGCCTGAGTGGCGCACGGAGCTGGGGTACATGCTCACGTCCTTGTCCAGGAGGTAGCTCACGTACATGGTGGCGAGGGCCCGAGAGCAGACCTCACCATGCTGCCTGGGGAAGGACGCTGGAGGCTGCCAGGGGCGCGAAGGCGAAGGGGCTAGGGGGCGCGACGAGCGGCGGGTGGCCAAGCCCCAGCCCGCGGTGCTCCGCTGGCTCCTCGCGGCCCTTCTGCCTGCGAGGCGGTCCCTCCCTCTGGCCTGCCTCCTCCCTCCCTCCCTCCCTTTCTTCCTTCTTTCCTCCCACCTCCTTCCCACTGAGCTGCAGAGGCGGGGAAGACCCGCCACAGGCTGGCGTGCGGAGCCCCTGGCCGGCGGCCTTACGTGATTAACGAGTGTTTACAAGACTCTATTAGTAATGACACAGACACCAATGGCTGGAGACGTCGAGGCGCAGCGCGCTTTCAGCGCACAACCCCCCGAAACAAAATTTGCATTTTAAAAGATAAGGGGGGGAGCCTGCGAGAGGGCCACGACCTGATCACAGCTAAATATTCAAGCCTTTATTGTTAAGAGCTTCCTCCTTCCAACCTGGTGCACTTTAACCTCCAATCACAGGTTCAAAGAATGAAATCAAGAGACTTGCAAAAGAGAGGGGGAGAGAAAGCTATCTTGGTGGGAATCTGGGCTAGGAGACAAGAGCAGTCGTTGTTTATGCATTTGCAGGGAAGGGGGCGGTCAAGAAACTCCTTCTGTCCCAAAGAGAAAAGAAAACGGAAGCCATTGCTTTGATGAAAACGTCTCTGACCAACCCGGGAGGTGACGAGGAGAGCCCAAAGAGATGGGCCGATTCCACTGGCAGCCCCAAACAACTGTCACCACCAACCGTTTATTTGCTTGCCTAAAGAAATCACTCGCCTTCCGCACAAGATAAATTATGATTCTAGCTTCGGGCTGCATCTTCGAATTCATCTTACATTTAGGAGTTGAGTTAAATTAAAGCAATTTATTTTTAAAACATTTACATTCAAGAATCAAAAATCTTCACTACAAAACCAATGGGCCTGTAGTGAAAGCTAGGCTGGTTGTCATGGGGAGGGATGGCTAGGGTGCTGGCAATGGTCTCTTGAGCTTCTGGTCACACCGTGTGTTCTTTCAGTTTGTGCAGATCCAGCCAGCTCAACTTGTGTGTCTATTATACTTGCGTAAGTGGTTAAAAATCAAGGAAAAGGAAGCCTAGAATTTCTGCTAATACCTATGTGGATACTTATACGTCTTACAGCATACCTGCGTCTTAAAAACATTCTCTCCTTTACGTAGGAAAGCATTCTCCGGAGAAATTTGCTTTTCATCTCTAGGGAATGGGAAGGCAACTCAGGGCCACTATGAATTATTGCTAATGAAAGCTCCAGGTGGAGAAAAGTTAAGAAAGGAACCTTCCTGGCTTTGGGAGCGCTGCGACCCAGGGACCTAGGGCTGGAAGTGGCCACTGTGGGGACCAGAGCCGCGCAGCCTGGATCGGGAATTGCCCGGACAGGAGCGCAGAGGCAGCGAGATTTGGTTCCCGCGCGCCCATCTCCGTTTCAGGCAATCGCACGGAGCGGGCCCGCGGTCGTCGCCGTGTGCCTCCTCTGCCAGCCCCCGTCGGCGCTGCCACGCTCGGGCATGAGGATCCTTGTGGCCGGCCCTGGCGGGCTGGGCCACCTGGTTTGGTGGCTTTGAGAGCTCTTAGAAACCCGCGGGCGCTCGCTGCTGTCCTGGAGACCTACACTTGTTGGTTCCCACTGTCAAGCGCTTCTCTTGGGTATTTGTCACCAACAGCGTGTCTGAGCCTCATATCTCCCAGGCTGACAGCAGTGTTGCTGTCCTCCCCATTTTGCAGGTGACAGTCACCACGCTGCCTCTGCAGACAGACTCAAGTGAGATCAAAACTAGGATCCCGTGTTTTCTGGTTCTTCCCCTGCTTTGTGTTTTGTGAAGAAGATTAAAATTGGGGGTGGCAGAGTACTCCGTAGCCAGGGAGCTTCCCACTCAAGAGTTAAGAGACCAGAGCTGATCCTCCTGGGGGACCTCCAGGCCTGGCCCAGACAGCTGAGTGTCCTCAGACTTCCCAAGAAATAAAACCGGAAGTAAACTGCAAACCCCATTACAAAACCCACATCGTTGAGGGCAGGGCAGAAAGGGATGTCTGCAGTCTCGATGGGGTGGGAATGTGGGAGGTTAAGTGGTGGGCACTTCGAACTTTTGATCTAGCGAACATCGTCCTCCTCTTCCTGGAGACACAACCCCCCTCTCCATCCCCCATAAGCTCACCCCACCCGGAGCCTGAGCTCTGGAAGCCTAGGCCGAGGCTCCAGCCTGTGTCTTCGGAATGTGGGCATTCTTCGGAACAATCGCTTTATTGGGGACAGCCATCCCCTCCGCCCTGTGGTGGCCGCTTCCTGTGTTTTTATGGCCCAGGCTGCCGGCCTCTGGCTAATTGTCCCAGCTCTCCAGCTGTGTCTCTGTGCTCTGCCCTGGAGAAGGGGCTCTGGCCTGCACACCTAACTGCTTTGGGAGCTGCCTAGCCTGCTCTGCCCCTGAGGATGAAACTGGGCCCCAGAGCTGGCCAGGCCACAGGGCAGCCTGAGCCTGGCTTGGGGTGCTCCAGCCATCAAAGGAAACCAACATGAAAACCAATCTTGGTTTCCCTCCTTGCAAAAATGGGTCTCCATGGCAGTAGCCTGGCCTGCCTATGTTCCAGGGTATGGGCTGTTGGTGAGGGGAAAGGAGCTAGTAAATGATGTCCTTGGACAAACTCCTCAGCAGGGAAGTGTTCCTCTACATCCAGGTTGCCCAATCAGCCAAGAGAGGGCCAAGCCAGGACCATGGAAGGGGCAGGGTTGTGGCAGCTTTCAGGGAGGGGGCACTCGGTGGCTGATGGGACAGGAGCCTGGGTGTCTTTCCATTTGGACAGCCCGAGTCCTTTGCTGGCTGGTGGCCCATGGCTCCTCTGGAGGTTCACTCTGGCAGGGGCAGCCTCTGAGTGCAGGTGTGTGGCCCTGGCAGGATGTAGGGACCACCTGCATCAGGGCCCTGTGCAGGGCTTTCTTAGTCCTAGGCCCAAGGTGCTTAGTGGCTTACTTAGAGACTTTTGGCCAGAGCTCTGAGGACCCCAGAAGGGACAGGGATGGTCATCCTAACCCCCGGTGCTGAAGGTGCCCTTCCATCCTGTACTTCTCTGTCACCGCCCTGCTGCTACTGCCACCTGGCCAGAAAAGCCTGTAGCCAATTGCTGTGGGGGAGGCAAATTCATTTGGGAAGCTTGAGGCTGGGGTTGGGCTGGGGCTGAAGCTGTGACCCCCTGATGCCATAGCTAGAGCCCACTTTGAAGGGCAGAAAAGGGTGGGAAGAAACAGATCCAGGTAAATAAAATGACAAGAACACTGCAGGGGCAGCCACAACCAGGTTATCAAAGGGACATCTCTTTGTTACTAACAGTAGAGGCCACTTCACATTCCTCAGAGAGGGTCTGGGCTTCCAGGACCCTGCTAGTGGCAAGGGCAGGGGCTGTGGACAGGGGTGGGGAGCAGGAGGCTGCCGGAAGGGGCAGGCTGCCCTGCCAGGCAGATGAGACACTCCTTAAATCCACAGATCATTGACACAGCTCCCTCCCTGCTCAAAGGTCCCCAGTGTTTGCTCCACCTTAGGGGACCTGCCTCTGACTCTGCCTGCTATTTATGGCTCCTGGAAACTGGGGAGCCCAGTGACCCACATAACCCCGAGAGGACAGGCTGTCTCTAGCCACCTTAGCATGGACGTCTACTTTCTGAATCTTTTTTAGATCAAGAAAATTATCTAAATAAATGCAGCCCTACCATACCCCTCTCCTCCCCTGCACAGGAAACCCTCACCCTGCGTTGACCTGAATTCCCAGGATAATTAAGGAAGTGTGAGAGGGAAGAGAATATTGTCCGATAAAATTATTCAGCTTGCCGGTCTGTACTGTGGTGTGGAAACACCGCTCAATCTCTACCTAATTTGGCATTAGGGAGTCTTTCAGCCATGGCACTCAATCAGCCATCCCCTCACACAAAGAAAGGCTCAATAATGGATGGTTTGACCCCAGCACCCCCACCCTGCCCTGCCACTGCGCACTCAGCTAACATCTCTGGGAAGGAAATCAATAACAGTGTCCTTTCTGTGGGGCCTCCCCAGGGTCCACCACCTGGCTGGCCCCATCAGGCCACAATGGAACCCAACATGTTCATCTCGAGCAGCAGGGAGGGGCCGCAGCTGCCCACAGCTGCCCAGGCTTCATTCGCGAGAGCAGATGTGTCCTGCTCAGTACAGTGAAGATTGTTTTCCTCCCAAGCAAACTGGGTTTCTGGTCCTCTCTGCCTGAGGAAAAGTTCCCAAATTCATGAGCGGTCATTGGTGGGCTAAAGTTTTACTACTTAGGGACCAGGATGCAGGAGGATGGGATAAGGACAAACAGCTGTCTTCTCTCACGGAGGGGCCACCAAGCTTTCTGACCCAAGGCAGGGAATACATTTTTTTATGTTTCTCTATCCAAAATATATTCTCTTAGCCAGGAGACCAAGGAAAACAAAAAGCCTCAGGAGAGGGGATAGTATTTGGGCATAGAAATTTGGTTCTGCTCAGTGGGTGACAATCATGCAAATAAATAGTAATTGCCCATTTCCTTCCTTTTCTCTGAAATTAGGGTCGGTAGACACAGTTTGGGCATTGGATCATGTATTCTAAGTCTGTGTGGTGGGTGAGCACAGAGATGATTTAAATCCTTAAGAAGCAGGGGATTTGGGAGTATCAGGGATTTGGGATTTGGTACCACCACTGGGAGCCAGAGCTTCCACCCCAAGAGAAACTGCTTGATGTCAGGGAGAATCAGGTTCTCTGAGCAGGTGCCAGCCAAACGTTACCACCATACTAAGCCTTGGCATGGATGGCTTTCCATTGACAATTTGTTCACTCACTATTGTCTCATGCCTGGAGTGACCTTTGTTTATCATATGAAAATATGTTCCTAGGAAGCCCTACCAGGTAAGTTTTATGTGGCTAAAGGAAGGACTTGGGTAAAGGTTCAACTCCCCTTGAGTTACTGGGCTCACTGGCTAGCTACATTCTCTAGAGGGGATCCAGGGGTCTTAGAGTCTGTGTAACCTTTTCATGTTACAAAGAACAAGGGGCCCAGAGAGGTTAAGTAATTTTCCTAAGGTTGCACAGCTAGCTGTTCAAGTCCTTTAAACTATATGAACTACAATATGTGCATTCTTTGTGACCTATAGCAGTCTGTGAGGATGTCAATTATGACTTGTACCACCCCAGAAACGTTGCATCCCCAATACAAAACCAACTAGTATGATTCAGGGGACCCCAACTTCCCACTCCCACCCCTGCACCCAATAGTACCAGAACAATCAAGTTCTGCTGTTGCTACAGTTCTGATCACTTTCCACATCCTGTTTATTTCTCTCTTTCTCAGGTGCCCGAAAAATGCAATTTATGGAATGGCGACTTTTCCATAAATTCCATCGCAGATTTTTTTCCCAATTGACAAAGAAGGTATCCATCTACTTTTGTCTCATAGTAAATACTTTCTGAAAAGAGCTCTTCTCTCTTTTTGAATCAGCACCCACGTCCTGTGGACAATCTCTGGAAATGTGGCAAATTTAAAATGAGTGAAGGTTACGCATGGAATCTGTGTTGTATTTCCCCCTTCCCTTTCTTCCCATATTAGAGCCTGTAGACGTCTTTTTGGGCACACAGCTTCCAAAGCCTACCTTTCTGGGTAAATAAAAAGGAGGCCCCGTTCGGGTTCCCAGTTCCACAGCTGAGCCACAACCTCGGATTCTGCTCCTGGATTCGGAGCAGCTGCGGCAGCATTCGCCTGACCCGGCTTGGACTTTTCCAAGGGAAACGAAAATCAGCAAAGCCGCCCCCGCCCGCACTGGCGTGTGCGTGGACGGGCTGTCGGGTTACGGAAACTGAAATCAGCTCCTCGCCTTCCAACTCTTTCTAGAGTTGCCACTGTGGTTCTTTCTTTTCTATTTTGTTTTGTTTTGTTTTTAACGAATTAGTGAGTAAAATATTAATTGTTCCCGGTGGTATCTACACCAACCACTTCTGCGCCCCCAGACGCCCACTGGGCGCGCCCTGGGCGGTCCCTGCGCTCCGAAAGTCGCGGCAGGCTGCGCGCTGGGGTCCCTGCGCCCGGCCTGCCTCCCGCATCTAGCGCACCAGAGGGCAGAGGCGGGACGGGGTCTCTTCCAGGCCGCAGCAGCCCAGGGCGTGTCGCTGTTTGAGCCAAGACGCGGCGGGAGAAAACTGCCTGCCAGACCTCCGCAGCCCCCGGTGACCCACCCGCGCAAGCAACAGCCTCTGCTTTTCCGCTCCAAGAGCCACCAGCGGCTTTTGCCCGGGCCCTTCCCAGCCCGGCGCCCGCGTCCCGCGTCCCGCGTCCTGCGCTCGCCCTCCCGGCTGCTATGCTCAGGCGTCTTTCTTTGGAAGAGGCACCACGCAGCCAGCTCTTCTCCGTCCCCTCCCCCGTCCCCCAGCTCCTTAGAAAGGGACAGATCCAGAGTTTGCCCCACAGGGATAAACAGTTTTGCGACAAGCTTTGAACGGTTGAAATGTAATTGTGTAACTGGAAACACCTGGGTCGTGCCTTCGCGGCCAGATCACATCTACACTCCTGCTGACAAACGCCGCTGGGAGTCTTGCCCCGTGGGTTTTGTGCGTCCAGTGTTGAGCTCAGTGACATGAGAGCACGCACTCTAAATTTGGGGGGCCCACTTATCTAAGCGTTGGATTCACCCCAGGGTCGGACAGGGTGCCCTAAGCACAGTGGGTTATTCTGAGTCTCAAATACCAAGTCAGAAAATCCTCTTCTACAAATAGCAGGTTCCTGTTTGTGTCAGGAAATCCCCCAAGTTACCTTGGCTAGAGGGAGACAGGTGTGTGGCCCAGGCCCAGGCACCTCATTGCCTCAAGGTCCCAAAGTACAGGCGCTGAGTCACTGAGTTCTTCCTAATGTACACCTGGTGCTCCTACTCCCAGAGAAGGTGTGTCTCCGCTTCCCTGGCACCCAACCCATTGCCAGCTTCTCTTTCCGCCACCCTTACCCCTAGCAGGGCACACCAGTCAGATGGGAAAGGGGAAGGGAGTGCCTTGTCTAAAATCCCCAGTGCTCTAGAAGTGATTGATTTCTGTGGAACATCAGCCCCAGCACCAAGAGCGTGGCCACGAGCCCACGGAAAGGTTTCTTGCTGCAGCTGCTAATGCTGAACAGGGCTGGTCACTAATAGAATTTCTTGTCTTCAAAAAGTCTAGCTCTGCCTTCACCTCTTATCTTGTCTGTGCTAGGGAGGATATGGATGGTTTGTTTCTCCTTCCACAATAAGAACCCTAAGTAGAGTATGTTGGGGCCTAGCACACCTGAGAGAGAGAGAGAGAGAGAGAGAGAGGTGGGCTCCTCCTGCATGATGCTCATGTACTTTCCCCCGGTGGACATTCCCGGGCTGGTGCAGGGAGCTGCCCAGCCTAATCCAGCTCTGAAGCCCTGGTGTTGACAGGCTCCCCAGACTTGGCCTACTCTGCCTGGAAAGATTTCGATGGGCATTTCCCTCCATTTTACCAGCACTCTGGGGGCCTTCTCATGGAGCGGGGCGGTTACAATACTCAGCTGGTCAATGAGTATTACTATTGTAACCACTGATCGCTTTCCCAGGACAGTCAAGCCAACCCCAAGGGCTGACCTCCAGGGCTAACCTCCGGGAGAAACAAGGGGCTTGCCCGATCCCGATGGGCCCATCCAGCTCGGACGCGCGCGCGCGCGCGCGCACACACACACACACACACACACACACGTGCACGCGCACACACACACACCCTCTTAGGAGCGATGGCTGCAGCTACTCCGCAGGTCCACACCCGGCGCCTTCCCAACGCTGGCCCTTCTCGGGGCTCCTGCCGGCCACCGCCCCCTCCCACGGCTTTCCCTGCGCCCGCCAAGGCCGGCGCTTTGCTTTCCTAGCTCCGGCTCCCGCAGGTGCCCCAGAGTGAGAAAGCCGCTTCTGCTCACATGTAAATGTCGGGGGGAAAACAACAACAAGGACAACAAACCAAACAAAAAACAGACAAACCGCCGCTGTGGAATAAATGATTCTTTTTCCGTCCGTTTTGCTTTGCAGCTCAGGCTTAGCAGGAGAGAGTGGGGAGCCAACAGGAGCTGGATAAGCGCGTTGAGATCCACAAAGGCTGGCGGTGTCAGCAGGCCGCAAAGGGAGGGAAGAATTGAAGCAGTGAGCTGGATAAATCGGGGCAAAGCACTAAACTATATAGATATTTTGGCAACGCGTGTGCATGTGGGTCAGTGGATAAAGGGGCTCATTACTCGTATGACTGCCTCAATTCTCCACTTCCGTGGTGCGCGCGTGTGGACGCTGGCTCCAGGCCGGAGTCAGCCTCCCGCCCGGCACGCACCGCTCCAGGCCGGGGCTCCCGCTCGTCCCGCCGTGCGTCCCGGGTCCCCGGCCTGGGTGGCAGCTACAGCCGGGCGGGGTCGGCGCCGAAGAGGTCGGCGAGGCGCAGGCGGCCGATCTTCTTCACCTCGCCCAGAGCGGTGCGCAGCTCCTGTGCGGGCGGGCAGTGCAGCCGGCGCGCCAGCTCGCGGGGCACCGCAGCCCGGCCGCTGAGGCGCGCGGCCAGCACGAAGGGGAAGCCGAAGCGCGCGCGGTACTGCGCGTTGAGCTCGGCCAGCTGGAGCCGCTCGTCCGCGCCCAGGCTCGTCAGGCCCGCGCCGCTCTGTTCCCGCTGCGACTCGGCCGTGAGCGTGCCCCGCTGCAGCTCGCGGCCCGCCAGGTCCGGGTGGCAGCGCAGGATGCCCTCCTGGCCTGCGGAGAAGCACAGACACGTGGCGCGAGCGTGTCACCGCGCCTGCTCCGCACGGAGCCGCGGAGAGGGCGCGCGGGGCTGCGTGCGAGCGCTCGGCGGGGTCGCGGGAAGCCGGCCGGGCCCGGCCCCCCGCCCCGCCCCGCCCCGAAGGAGGCTGCGGAGTGGAAGGCAGGGTCCCCAGGCCGTGGAGTCTTGGCGAAGCTGGGGAGCCCATCGCGCCCGCCCCGGGAACCAGTCCTGGACCGCGGGCCTCTCCGTCCCTGCTACATTGGGTCCGGACTGGGACCCAGGGGCGAGGCGGGAAGTCATAGGTTTGTCTTTTCAGACCTCGAGTCAAGAAGAGTGGAGGAGAGAGGGCGGCCGCGGAGGCTCGGAATTTACGACTGGATCGGGAGGGAGCGGGGACGCGATAAGGAGCCGCAGCAGTCCGTATCTTTTCAAAGTCCTTTGCGCTCAGGGGGGCTTTGATGTCGAAAGGGGCCGGACGGAAAGTGCCTGAAGACTGCCTGCAAGACCCTGGAATGGGTTTCGTTCTGCTCCAAAGGAGAACGGGCAGGGGCGGGCGGATCCTTAGGGATAACGTCCTTGGGGCTTGGCAAATAAATGCCCAGAATTTTGTGACCTGGAAAGTGTGAATTCTGGGTTTCTGGAATCAGGCATTCAAAGGGCCTCGCAGATGAGTAACTGCAAAGAAACCCTTTTTCAGCGGGAGTTCCACAGTCCTTTGAAAGAAAGTGGCTTTCTTGGCCAGGCGAGATGGCTCAGGCCTGTAACCCTAGCACGCTGAAAGGCCGAGGAAGGAGGATGGTTTGAGGTCAGGAGTTTGAGACCAGCCTGAACAAGAGCGAGACCCAACTCTATTAAAAATAGAAAGAAATTAATTGGCCGTCTAAAAATATATACAAAAAATTAGCCGGGCAGGTGGTGCATGCCTGTAGTCCCAGCTACGTAAGAGCTGAGGCAGGAGGATCGCTTGAGCCCAGGAGTTTGAGGTTGCTGTGAGCTAGGCTGACGCCACGGCACTCTAGCCAGAGCAACAGAGTGAGAGAGAGAAGGAAAGCAAGCAAGAAAGAAAAGCAAGCAAGCAAGAAGAGAGAGAAAGAAAGAAAGAAAGAAAGAGGCCGGGCGTGGTGGCTCACGCCTGTAACCTAGCACTGGGAGGCCGAGGCGGGCGGATTGCTAAGGTCAGGAGTTCGAAACCAGCCTGAGCGAGACACTGTCTCTACCAAAAATAGAAAGAAAAATTGACACAAAAATTATATACAAAAATTAGCCGGCATGGTGCGCATGCCTGTAGTCCCAGCTACTCGGGAGGCTGAGACAGTAGGATCGCTGAGCCCAGGAGATGAGGTGCTGTGAGCCAGGCTGACCCACGGCACTCACTCTACGCTGGGCAACAAAGGAGACTCTGTCTCAAAAAAAAAAAAAAAAAAAAAGAAAGAAAGAAAGAAAGAAAGAAAGAGAGAGAGAGAGAGAAGAGGCTTTCCTCTGTTTAGGGACATTACAACCACCCACCCCCTAACTTCCTAGGCCTAAAATTGTTAGAAACCCTTGGTGTGATGCCTGGGGTTTCTTTGTTTGTTTGTTTATTAAAGACAGAGTCTCTTTCTCACCCAGGCTGGTATGCAGTAACACAATCATAGCTCACAGCAGCCTCAACTCCTGAGCTCAAGCTATCCTCCTGTCTCAGCCTCCCAAATAGCTGGGATTACAAGAGTGCGCCACCATGCCTGGCTAAATTTTTTGTTTGTTTTTCACAGAGAGGCAATCTCACTATGCTGCCCAGGCTGGTTTCCAACTCCCAGCCTCAAGCAGTCCGGTTGGCCTCCCAAAGTGCTGGGGTTACACACTGAGCCACCACTCCCAGCCCATACCTGGAATTTTAAGTCCTAACCCAAGGGCTTTCCCTGAGCCCTGGGCAATCATTGTGTTTAGCTCTCTAAAGTGAGAATTAGAATCCTCCCAGCTAGGCAAGATTTCAGACATGGTGAGCAGGGAGCCATGATCTGTCAAATGAAGGTGACACCTAATTCACTGAGTTGTTGTGAAGATTAAAGACAATTCATTCACCTAAAACAGAGCCTACCGCCTAGTAAACATAAACAGTCGTTATTAGTCAGTAAACGCAGTGGAACTGGACTGGTGGCCACAGGAAGTGCCAGCTCTTGGTATCTGAGTACAGCAGTTGTCAGCCATTGGTGCTGAGAACAGGTGTGAGGCTCTGTTAGAAAAGGGGAGCATGTAAAACACTGTTTAATAAGTTACATCTCAGAAGAGCTGGGGGGAGAAGTCCTTTTATTATGATATAACCAACTCCTCCTCAAACCTTATAATTTCTGTCCTGTAAAAGGATGGTTGAGATTGCCCCCATCTAACTCCTACACCGAAGTCCCCAGAAGGAGGGAGGACTGGGGAGAAGATTCAATGAAGGCTCAGAAAAAGTTAGGTGACCTGCTCTAGGTCACTCAGCACTCTGCCTGGAGTGTCAACTCCAAATCACAGGTGTTTTCAGGGCACGAGCTGCCCCTGCAAGGTTAAGGGGAGTTCAAAACGAAACGCATGTCACCAGTAATCCCATCCCTGTACCCCCTCTCCTGGCTCCCCTGCCCCTCGGGCACTGCAAAGAGGAGTTGGTTCTTTCTCCCCAAGTCTAACCCCATCCGGGTCGTGCGAAAGGGTAGGTGTTGAATTCCCCACCTGGGGGAGCAGCCCCAGCACACGCCCGCCCCCCAGCCTGGTTGTCCAGGCCGGCCTGGGGGAACCGAGCTCAGCGCAAACACCGAGGCCCCGCCCCGATCTCCTCGGTGGCCACGCAGTCCCAGGATCCGCAGTCCCAGGATCCGCAAAGGTCCCCAGCTGCGGAGAAGAGGAAACCAGGCATCCTGGGCAGCTTCCGTGCGGGGATGGACAGGACAGTCCCCGTACCTGTCCTCACGTATTCAGAGATTCAAAGAAGCCTCTAGGTCACCTAGCCCAGCCAGGACACTTCTCTTTCTCCCCTATTCCATACTCTCTGGAGGATCAGCCTGAGCTGCGGGGGGAAGTAGTTACTGGAGACAGGCCCGGGGGTGCGGGTGGTGCTGGGGTCTGTTCCCTTAGGGCCCCCTCCCAGACCCCTGCGCAGCCCGCGGAGCAGAGGGAGGCGCCGAGCAGCTCCCCCGCCAGGGCCCCGTTGCCCTTCTTGGACTTGCATCTCATTGCGGAGAGTTTATCTCCCCTCTTGAAAACATCGCCCGGGGTTAATGTTTGCCTAGGACTGAACGTGTGTGTTTCCACTCTTACAGGGAGGAGAGAAGAGAAAAGAGGCCAAGAAAAGGGCAGTGCCAAAGGCACAACAAGAGACTAAAGAAGAAGAACTGGAATTCACACACACACACACACACCCTCGGCTGCATATAACAAGAAAAAGGTGTGAGGAGTCAGGTAGAGGGTGGTAGCTTAGAAGAAACAGAAGGTGACCTCTTGCCAGGCCAAGGACTTCATCCTCATTGCTGCAAACCTCGGAACCCTTGAGTACTGGGGTTGGGGAAGGAGGAGATGGCCACCACTTGCCAACCCCCCTCCCCCAAGCAAGGACCCAGTTCCCTGCCAGCTCATGGTATCTGAAGGGAAGCCCTGCTGTAGCCATAAACCCAGTGGGAGGCTGGCGATTGGGCGCGTGTACTTGCCACCTCCCTGCCTCCTGTCCCTAGGGTGCCCCCACCTGGAATGGCCAGGTGCTGGCTGAGCGTCAGTGGCCTGCTCTCCTTCGGGCATCTCCGAGCTGCCCTTTCTTGAGGCTTTCCTGAAACTCTGGACTTACCGCTTGTGCCATCGGCGTGTCATATCTAGAGATGCAGGTGGGGACACGTATTATTTGTCGGGACCACAGGATATGAGTTTTTGCACCTAGAAGAATTCCTGGCACAGAGTGGACGCCCGTTGTTTCAGTGAGAAAGCAGGGCAGATGACGGTGGCCACTGAACCCCAGAATGCCACACCAGTCCGCCTGCCTCCCCGGTCTGTAGCCACTCATGTGTTCTCACTCCTGGTGCAATGGATAGTCTGTCCTTTCTATCCGAGACCAACCCCACCACTTCTGTTCTTGAAGCCAGCCCCTCTCTTTCTCAAAGACTTTGCTTATGTAATTTCAAATATCCACTTCTCCACCCTCCTTGCCCTCCTCAACACCCAAACGTGCCTTGGAATCACTCACCGCACAAACAAAATGAAAGCCATCTCGTGATTCCTTGTTGCCCACTAGTTTCTCCCTGTCTCTCTGCTGCTCCTCCCAGCAAAACTAGACAGGAGTTGTCTCCTGGCCTCTCCACCTCCTCGCCTCCCTTTCCAGGTCCACTCTGTCAAGCTTTCGGCCCCACCCACCAACCAATCTCCACTCAACAAGGTCACACATGATGGACATCTTGCCTGAGCCCAAAGTCAATGCTCTGGCCTCTTCTTTCTCAGCCTCTCTGGAGCATGTCGCCTGCTTGGCCCTCTCTCCTTCCTAAAAGATTGTCCTCAGTTGCCTTTGTTTTTTTTGAGACAGAGTCTCACTCTGTTGCCCGCACTAGAGTGCCATGGCATCAGCCTAGCTCACAGCAAACTCAGACTCCTGGGTTCAAGTGATCCTCCTGCCTCAGCCTCCTGAGTAGCTGGGACTACAGGCATGCATCACCATGCCCGGCTAATTTTTCTATTTATTTTTAGTTGGCCAATTAATTTCTTTCTATTTATAGTAGAGACGGGGTCTCGCTCTTGCTCAGGCTGGTTTCAAACTCCTGACCTTGAGCAATCCGCCTGCCTCGGCCTCCCAGAGAGCTAGGATTACAGGTGTGAGCCACCGCACCCGGCCCCTCAGTTGCCTTTGGAGACACCACTCGCCTGCCTTCATCTTGCTCTGCCAGATCATAAACATTAAGGTATCCAGTACTCAGTGCTCACAACTCTTCCCTTCTCTATTTATAGCCATGCACTAAGTATTCTCATCCAGTCCCATGGTTTTATGTGACATCGGGTC